TTAAGTTCTGACAAGTGTCATTGGACATTTTTCTCTTTGTCTGCTAACCATTCTACCACTCTCAGTTTTAGCATCAACGGAGAATCTCTCAAATATGAAAAGACGCCCGAAGTTTTGAGTTTGTATTTTTCACACGATCTAAGCTGGAAACCTCACTTTAAAATAACTGCTTTAGCTTGTCGCCGCATGTTAGGTGCCATAAACGGAACATTTGCTGAAGCTTCGGCTTTTCTGTGTCTTCACATTTACAAAACTTGCGTTTTGGCTAAACTGGACTATGGCAGCACGGTTTTCGATACTAAATTTATTACTCACACTCAACCCTTTGAGTCTGTCCAGAAACTTGCAGCGAGATTGATGACTCGACACTTCGATTATACCACTGATAGTGTCCAACTTGCCAATGATTTAGGCCTTCCTAAATTCGACGTCTCTACTTTCGTCTAGTCAACTACTATCGTATTTTCCATCGTTTATGCACTTTAAATCGCGACGAGCTCATTACGCAAATACCTGTCAATATTAGGAGATCCGAGAGACTTAATGTTAATCTGAATCCCTTGCGGGTCGTTGTACCGTTTACCACTCTAACTAATGTTCAGTATTCCTTTTTCTATTCTACTTCTTCTGATTGGAATAATCTACCATCGTATGTTGCTTCAGCACCTACTGTAAAATCTTTTAAAAGCAATTTAAAATTGTACTTGAGTTAATCGCAAAAGAAAGAAATGGTCGATGAAATAATATATGAAATAACTAGTATGTAGAACTTTAACAATCAAAAGATGTATATAACGCTGCAAGCATGCTTCCGATGCATGAGTAGTAGAAGACCAAAGAACTGAATGTTGTCTGAAGGTGCTTTGTATTGCTTCCATGCGCAATACCGTTTTGTGTTACTTAACACTTATAGCTGTGGTCATCTCATCAGTAGAACTGAAGCAAGTGAGAATTGAAATACGACAGCTAAAGAATATTACAGCATATTGTTTGATTCTGATTAAAGTATCCTTCATTAGTTAAAATGAATGATTTTGTGAAAATAAGAATGGAAGAGAAGCACAATATGTTTTGTGAGAGAAGTCCAACATAGGAAGTAACAAATACATATTTATTACAAATTTGAATGACTTTGTTTATGGCGATGGAGTACTATAAATAATAGAAAGGAAGAGAGTAAATACATACTAGTAAAGGTTTACTTGTTTCACTTCCCAGTATTTGTCGATATGGGAGCATTCTTGTTCAAATTAGTGCATAATATTCTTCGTATTATATCATTTTGACTGTTCAACAAGCGAAAATCGCTAGTATAAATAGTAAGTAAGATGTAAAAGAACAAGAAAAAGAAAAAGGAGCTGTATAAAACAAAAGAAAGGAGAGAGAAATTTTGGTTTAAAAACGTTCTGTGTTTCGGTTATAGCTAGTAAGAAATAAAAGAAGTTGTGAGATTTACGAATAATCTAGGGTATGAATTGCTCTTTTTTTAAAAAAAAAGTAAGTTTGCAAGTGTAAAGGAGAAACGACTAGAAAGAAGAAAATGAGAAGGTAAAAGTATAACAAATAAAAGCAAAATCAGAAAAAAGAAAAAAAGAAAGACAACTGAAGCGGACAAAGATAAATATGGCATAGTGGAGACAGGTTAAGAGATTGTTTGGGGTTCAAAAACGTTCAGTATTTTTTACAGATGTTAGCAAAGGGAGTATTTAAAATGTTTTTTCACTTCTCAGTATCTTTATGTCACTTGTGCAAAACTTGTGCAAAATAACGATAAGGTAATTCTGAAAAGTTCTCAACATGATCATCATCGCTTTCATTTTCGGATTGCCGCTCAATTATACCACATGATATCTCTTCATCTTTGTTCTAAAAGGAAAACACATGCCTTATAGTGGTTTTCATTTTCATTAATATGACTGACTCAATAGGAGAAAAATGGTACTGACAAGATTAAAAAACAACTCGTGCATTCAAGATACTATCTTCGATATCTAAATGGTGTCTAGAGATGCGACGCTCAGCAATACCTTAAATTCATCTGGCGGTAGATTTGAATCTTCAATGTAAATCAGTCCAATAGTAGCTAAGCCAACTAGAGTTTTCATATGTCTAAAAGCTTTCAAACACATATTGGATTATATTAGAATTACTTCGAGTCTTACCTGCTTCCACAGGGACATTGGTAATGTTTGGTGTTGGACGATTTAGTTCAGCTTATCTGATGCAACATTGGGTAAAAAAGGCAGAGAGTACTAGAAGTTTATGGGAGAAAATTTATTTTATTTTACACTTGGTTTTGATGTAAATTCAGCAAAAATACAAATGGTGTTCGTAAAATATTTTAAAAATTGAGCAGCATTGACACCAATTATGGGTTTAATGTCAGAATTAATAAAATCATTAGCTGTTGCCTATTTCGTTCCTCTATTGACTTACAGATTTGTGGCGTTATTTTCATTTACTAACCTTAAAATTGATACATGAATTAGTTCGTACTTTTCAATAAAAATAACTCTTGCAAAAGAAGATTTTTCCGGCCCTAGTGTTGAAACACCTTATCTACAACTGTCCGTAACGGGACACCTTCAATTTATATCCCGATCGGGCAATAGGCGGTTAACCTTTTATTGCTTAGAATGGGATATATTGTTGATCGAATCGCTTTCCACAGCAACCGTCTTTTTTTATTTCTTCCTTTTCGATACGCACATATATTGAAACACACATTACTTTTCTGATGCGTAGATAATATATAAGCACACGTGCTTTGTGTTTAACGGGGAATTTTCGAACTATTCATTCATGCAGATAAACTGCCTTATGTTATTTGTAAGTGAATCACAACCTGCTCTATCTTTTAAAACGTATAACTGGTGTCGAACAGGTGCAATGACACTTCTGTGAAGAAGCGGACAATGCAGAAAAGTATGCGAAATATAGGAGAATATTTAAATGTCTTCATGAGCGTTTCTTTTCTGGAAAAAAAAGACTAAATTGCCTGACAAAACGCTACAAGTCAACCACAAATGACTGTTTAGGGTTGTCATATCTAAGTGCACCAGTTTCTCCGAATGTGATTTTCACCTAAAGGGAAAACGCATCGTTTTCCTCAGTATACTTCGAATTTCATTATGGTTGAACTGTCTAAGCGAGAGTAACTGAATTAGACTAAATCTAAAGAGAACTTGTTGTGTTTTACAGTTCTGGTATCCAAAAAGCGGAATTGAGTCTCTGGAGACGCAAGTTTTACGTAACATAATTGCAATTAGAAACGTTCCATTGAACGTATGGTGGCATGTCTTTTATTCAAAAAGTGATTGGTCAGTTGCGATAGTTTTCTCAGTAGGGAAACATAAGCCAAATTTTAATAAAATCACGACTCGAAATTTGGTGTCAAATATCGATAAGTCGACCTTCATCATCTAAATGGAAACCAAAAGATTTAAGAAAATCGGCGGCATCCTTTCAAAACTAGGGCCGGAAAAATCTTCTTTTGCAAGAGTTATTTTTATTGAAAAGTACGAACTAATTCATGTATCAATTTTAAGGTTAGTAAATGAAAATAACGCCACAAATCTGTAAGTCAATAGAGGAACGAAATAGGCAACAGCTAATGATTTTATTAATTCTGACATTAAACCCATAATTGGTGTCAATGCTGCTCAATTTTTAAAATATTTTACGAACACCATTTGTATTTTTGCTGAATTTACATCAAAACCAAGTGTAAAATAAAATAAATTTTCTCCCATAAACTTCTAGTACTCTCTGCCTTTTTTACCCAATGTTGCATCAGATAAGCTGAACTAAATCGTCCAACACCAAACATTACCAATGTCCCTGTAAGCCAATAATCAGCCGATTTTTCTTTCATCCGAGTATAATCTTGTGCGTATTGAATAAAATAACCCCATGTATTGAATTCGAGAGAAAAAAGGAAGACTGATAATAGAAATGATTTGTATGCTCTCGCGGGTCACAAAAAGTAGATTGTTAACTCCTTTTCGTAGTAGGCAACGTCGTTACATCAGCAGCTTGAACTTTTGTGATCAGTTTCGTAACAAAAATTCTTTGACAAAAGGGACTTCGTGACTCTCTCGTCCAGATGTATGAGTTGTCTTGCAAATTGGTTGTTCAATTGTTGACTTTTACTTCGTTTTATTTAAGTCATTTGATGCTTTCTTGCCAGAATGCATACACAGAAAAATCGGCTAACATATGCGAAATGCTGCTGATGGTCTCCAGGGAAAGATCATCGGCTAAATTACCTGTGAGTTCAACGCTCGATATCTCAAAAGGCAAAGGTTCCTTTTTTGAAGAAAAGCTGCTAATAGCTTTTATAATACTTCTTGTGTAGTAACCGGAATGGTAACCTTTTCGTCTGATTTCTCTTTGACCAAGTTTATTCATCACGATAGATGATGAATTAAAGGTAATTAGAAATCTTTATGAAAACCTAAATAGTTTTTCTTCTGATATGAAGTACATTGTGCTCGAACTCGTAACAACATCGCTGATACAATTTAGATGATCAAATTTCTCATAAACTGTCTTATAATCCACTAGGAAGCCACCCCAAGTGCTAATGTTTATTTTCATGGTATCACTTTGTATCATGTTAAAGATAATGTGATGAACGAGTAGTAGTACTGCCGATCTCATTGAATGAGATTCTGATGCAGCAGGAGTCGTCTTTATTACATCTAAATAACAGAATAGCTGCATGCTCTGTATTCTGAGACCGTGGGATGACAACAAGTCATAAAAAGGACACGACTAACGCGTTCACTGTAAAATTCTCAAGGCAGGACGCATTCTTTATGATTTCTTTTTTTCCCGTTCCAAATGTGAACGACGCAAGTGGTTAGGAGATGAAAACCTGTTTTCTGAAAGCTTTACTTGCTATCACCGTAGTTGTCAACCAGTTAATGGTCAAGTTGTCAAAGTCCCGATTTGCCATTGCTTGTCCTCGATAAATAGTTAGTTTTGGACGGGGGAAGCTTTTCCTGTTGATGTCTGTAATTTCCGAAGCTCGTGGTGAAGGTCAGCGATGTAGAAGCCGAGTTGAAATAATTTGTCGATGTCTTGAGCTCTTAGTGCTTTATTTAATATTTGATAAAAAAAAAAATCGTTTGTGTACTATCATATGACTTGGTCTGTGTACTATTATCGTCGTAATTTCTTCTGATTGTTACTGTCGTGTTTCATTATCGCTTGTATTTACAAGCGTATAACATCGTTGCTAGTTATCAAATGAATTATACTTACTTACGTCGATCAATTCGGGTATGTCAAATTGTCTTTTTATCACGGTTAAGATATATATAAATTAGATTTAACGATTTTTCATTTACCTTTTTGTTAATGTGTGTGTATTTTCGTGGATATTTTAACATTCCTTCATAATCATAACCGAAAATCATTCATATATTATTCTTTTACTATTGTTTTCGGTAACAACTTGTTTTCTTTCACGTGTAACATAATACTATTAATTCTATAATGATTAATGAGTCGACCACTTCGATCCAATACAGACTTAAAACAAACGAAGTTGTTTGATTTTCTTCTTTCTCAATCCACACGCAATTGCACAAAAATCAACAGTCATCTTCAAAATCCTCAAATCTGTTACCACCATTTTACCTTCTTCTGCGAATAATCTAGATTCGAAGAATATTTTTCCTTCTTTGTCTTCAATTAGCACCGTCACTACTATGATGTTGACGTCACCGCCTTCATCACCTTCTGCCACTAATTTGAACACAATCGACGAACCACATGATTCAATGGCTGCATCAGCACCAGATACTGATGGCCTATCACTGAATTTTATTCGAAGAATAAAACTAAGTATATTTAATATAATTGAAAAACATTTTGGCAAAATCATTTTACATACAAGGCGAGCTTTCGATACTTCACAGTATCATCATCAGGCTCATATGACTGTGAATTTAGAAGAGAGATGAATATACATACTAGTTGAAACAGGGGAGAACGAAAATACTAGAAAAACGTAAACATAGAACAATATGTAGTAGAGACTCGAGTGACGGTTACATTTTTCTATTCTGGACTGTTATTTTCTAGACTGTCTAATCGAATATCACTGTCTTTAATGAAATATCATTGTAGGCTAGCTTTTTCTGTTCGTGCGTCAGTAGTGTCTCTTTTATTTGTCTTTTAATTTCATTTTTAGGAGGATACTTTTTTGACATGGGCAAATCCGAATTTTACAATTTAAACTCGTTTTGACGCCATTTTCTTAGATCAACTCATTTGATATGCGAACGAAAAATGACATTTCAACAACACAAAAACTTGAAAAAATTAAAAGTTGCTGCACCGTTGTTAGGGGTGTAGCCGTAGCAGTTTTCGTTCTCAACTGTCAGCGGTAGTCCATCATATGACGTTCTAAACTGTTAACTGCATCTCAAGTACAGCGTTTGACGGCAACGAATTACTTATGAAAAATTTGATTATAATTGCAGCTGTTTTAAACTTCATTTTATTTAGTTGATATTTCGACCTCAAACCGATGATTTTTAAAACGTTACAAAACTAAGTATACAAGAATTGAAAAACGAAACTTCTTTTCTTTTTTCCCTACGTGATAACGCAGAACAAAAAAGAGAAATCAAAACATAACCATTCTTTTTTTAGATGCGCATATAAAAAAAGGTCCGCGTACCATTATCAATACTTGATTTTATAGCATTCTTATCCTTGACCATTCTGACTATACAAGAATAGTCAATAACTTAGATCATTTCTTTTTAATATGCGCATATAAAAAAAGAATGATCTACGATATGTTTTGATTTCTCTTTTTCTTTCTACATTATCACGTAGGTATGCACCTGCGTCGGTTTTTTCGTGTCAGTTTCTCGGTTTGAAACCGAAACCGGTGCATACCTAGTTATCACGCAGAGAAAAAAGAAAAGAAATTTTGTTTTTCAATTCTTGTACACTTAGTTTTGTAACGTTTTAAATATCACCGGTTAAAGGTCAAAATATCAACTAATAAAATGAAGTTTAAAATAGCTGCGATTATAATCAAACTGCATCTCATCAGTTGACGTTCTGAACTGTCCACGGTATT